GTCACGCATGCATGCCACATTTTTTTTGCTTCGCCTTTTCTCTCTCTCTCGGTCTTTCTATCTCTTTTTCTCTCTGGCTGTTCACCATGAAATACCAAAACACAAATAATGACAACAATAGTAAACGGCGATACGCGTTCCAAGATTGAGATGTCAACGAAAAATATTTCGCACATTTTTTTGTGTATTCGTTTCTTGAGGCATCATCAGCAGCAGAAGCATTTCTTTTGGCCCCTGAGGAATTCGGTATCCGCAAAGATATCTTTACAATGTTTACAATGCCAATGAACACAATGTATAAGCGATTCGCACATTCCAAAGAATTTGTCATGCGAATCGCGACAGCGAAAAAACACACACACACACACACCGTCCATCGACATTTTGTGACACACGAAGACGAAGAATGAATAATTCCAATGCACTTTCATGTCAATCGCGCGCAAATGGTAGTATATATTTCATTTAATCGTTCGCACGCGGGTTATGACATGATAGACCTCAGAAGAGACACGCCGCCCAATTACGATATATATATATATAAATATATTTTTTTTCTCTGATTGCCAGTCAAAAATAACAAGAACAAAGTGTACTTTGATGAGTGAAAAGAAAACATTTATGCACACACAAAACAAGAAGGCACGAATGAAATGGAGAGAAAAAAAGAGGTAAAATGTGTCGACGTCATAAAACAATAAACGAACTCAAAAGCTTATTGATGAAACCTTTCATTGGAAACACTTTATGGCCCCGGTGGTGTACGTAAGAAAAAAAATTATATTTTTTTTCGTCGATATATTCAATATTTGCTGACTTATACACTCTCTTAAGCATTATTGGTATCGCCAGTGTGTGAATATTGATATGTACACGAAGGCGCACATAAAACACATGCCGACACAACAAACCAGTCTCACTCTCTGTGTGTACTGTATAGCTAGTTTAAGTACCGGAGTCGATATTTTTTTCTTTTCATTTCATGTTGCAGTTGTGTGTGTGTGTTTTTTTTCATTTCCAACTCTTTTTTTTCTGCAATAGTACATTAAATATGGAAGGAAAATATGCATATTAGTTGTATAAATCAACACCAGAGAACTTTTTGCTTCTTTGTGCCGCAATATAGAAAAAAAATCACAACGGCTATGCAGAAGCACACAGTTGCGAATGCATGCACTTCGCTGTTATGTTATGTTTTTTTTTTGCCGATCGAAACTCATTTGACTTTGGTTATTCGAAGTCGTGGCGTTTTTTTTCCACAGATAAAATGCGATTTGTTTGAATCCATCGGTAAAACCTTGCTGCCGCATATATATATTTTTGTCAAGAAGACACAACCAATTTCAAATGAATTCAGCAATCTGGGTTGGTTTCGTATTTGCAACATGATGGTTGTTATGTTTTACTATGTTCATCGGTTGCATTGACCACGATAATGAATCCAGTTTTGATTTATTGCAATATAATCGGAGTTGAACAAAACGGCTCCTTTGTAATTGATACACCGCGATTAGCGAACGGTACGCTTCTCTCTCTCTCTCTCTCTTCCGCTCCCTCACGCTCGTTTACTCACTCGTTTGGTTCCACGAACCAAAAACTTGTTAAATTCATACCGTGCTCATTCATTTACTCTTTGAATTTTGTTTTTCTTTTGAGTTACCAGGCAAGTTCCAAGGGATCATGTGAATTATGTTTTCTTTTCGGTGTATTTTTTTTTGTGTGCCACAAATAGTCAACAAAGATGAGAGACAAAAGAGAGAGAGAGAGAGAGAGAGCAAAAAACCCTAGTTTAAAAAAAACTAATCATGAGATGTTGAAAAGAAGACGACCGATTGCGATCGATTGTGTATTGCGAAAAAAAAATGCTGTGCGCTCGCGCGATTTGGGAAAGGGAAATTGAGAAAATATTGCGCATACACAAACATTTACCTCAACCAAACGAAATGAATTTTGAGAGAACAAAGGGGAGAAGTAGAGAAAAAGAAACACTCGCGGTCAGGCAGATATAGAGAGAAAAAGAAAGAAAGAGAGAGAGAGAGAAAAGAGGCGATAGAGAGAGAATCAACTGTTCACATAATAAATTATATTCACACTTTGTTAGCTGTTCATAAATGCGTTTTTAAGTTTATTTAACACTCATAATGCCATAAGAAGTGGAATGATGATTGCAGATCGTTTACAATGATGGCATAAAAACAAACCTACGCAAATTTCGGTCCGTTGCCTCCGTTTCTTCTGCCCTGTTCTGCAATTCTCGTTGAATATTTTCATGTGATAGCTATTGTGAAATATCCATCTAACGTGTACACACTGTACTTACAAACAATATTTCTTTCATTGTTTCGAATTGACTATATTTCCATGGTGCTATTTTTTTCGGTGCTGTTTCTCTGCCTTGAAACCTGGATCATGTGTGTTGGCCTGAAAAAAATAACAATATTAGTATACGCAAAAACAGAAACAAAAAAATGTAAGTGAAATAAAAACAACCGTCACATACGCAAAAAACCGATCGAAGTGAAAAACGAGCTAGAGAAAATACGACGTGTTTTTTTTCTCTTCCTCTCCAGTTGGTTTCAAATGAACTGTTTCAATGGATTTTGTTTTTCGTTCGTTCGTTCCCATGTTCTTTCTGTTCGTGTGGGAATTTTGTAGGTACTTCTAACGGCTGCTGTCGAATCTCTTTAAAAAAAAGGCGATTTCTTGAGAAGTGCACAATGTTTTCTTCATAATTTTATGTGCGTATAACACCTATAAAAACTTTGGCCACATATATCGCAAAACTCTCACATGAAAATGTGCAAGCACACACCAGTCAAGCATTTCATTTCCAATGCCAATTTTTCCCGGTCGACCTTCTCCGGGTTTCTGCATTTGTCTGAACAAATGGATAAAAACACACACACAATGCTCAAGAGATTCGTTGCACCAAGAATCACCGACATAAATAACTTGTTTTTCATTTCACTTTAATTTGATGCGAAACATAAATTCCACAGCCACAAAATCGAAGATGAAAGAGGAAAAAAAAAACCAACGAACAAATCATTTCAAATGTGTACGGTGTATTATAGAAACGACGATGGAATGAAAAGACGCGCGTAACTTATAGATTGACTTTGGCACACCATTTGCACCAGTCGCGTTGTGATTTCACATGGAATGCACAAACAAGTGGCGTGTGGTTGAACAATTACAACAAAACACTGAATTCCAAACGATAACATTAAACATGATCAAAAACAATAAATATCAATGTCGATGTTTGGAAAGTATTGTACATCGAATTCTAACCACGATAGATGCATCTATTATTGCTGCGCCATTTGTACAAATAGAAGAACGATCCAATCTTAATCTAGAACGAATGAAAAATACGACCGACAAATACATTGATAACACACAAACACACACAACCCTGAACTCATTTGGATAGAACCCGATATGGTCGTACACACAAAATGCACGGTTGAATCATCATCGGACGCTTTTTTCCTATTTTGACGGCTCTTAAAAAAAACACATAAAGTTTCGTTGAATCAAACTATAGTTTGTTTATTGATTAATGTATATTTGAAGTTTACCAAACACAAGAAACAGCAACTCTTCCTTTTTTGTTTGTCTTTCACGGTGGTGTTGTTCCTGTTTGAAAATTAGGTATAGTAAACATAAATTTAAACAATAACACACACCGAATGAATAGAAAAAGCCGTCAAATTTTCGAAATGTTTCTTTTAATGTAGACACACATACACCGAATGGTTTATGATGCTTATTTATAATGTTTGTGTGTTTCGATAAGTGTGAATTTGGTCGGTTTTTGACGAGTCGCTTTTTTTGTGCAACTTTTTTTCTTCTTCTGTTATTTATTATTAATTAGCACCTAAACACCGGTGAAGAGAGACACAGAGGCAGAGTGAATACCATGCGAAGCCAAATTATTAATTCAACGAAAATTCTAACAAATCACGTTTTTACCGCAAGTTTCTGGCTTCATGCTAAAATTCGACAGTGGTTTGTTTTTTTTTATATTCGGATATTTGTGTTTTCATTTCATATGGAAATCGTGTGTCTGATGTGACAGAAATTCGAATGTCGTCGAAACAAAACAGAAAAACAAATTGAATGAATTTATCGATTTTGATGAAAAACACACAAAAAAACAACAATGAATGACACGCTCAATGCCGCTCACCACACACACACACACACACACACACACACACATTTGTGATTGATGTTCAAATAAAAAACATACAACAAATCATATCTTCGATGCGCATAAATATTGATGCGGATTTGAAAAAAAAAATGACAGCAACAACAACATAAGAATATGTCAACAATTCGCTCCATTAATCACACAATCTTTGCTTTACGAATATTACACCTTTTGCACCGTGGAATTTTGACGCTTTTTCTCTGTCTCACTGTCATGCTCGCTCTGTCGCTCTCTTTCTCTGTGCACGAAAGTGTCGCGTTTCGATCGCGCTTTCGTCAGATTTTATTCAAATCAGTTCCGAGATGCATATGTATCTCTTTTCAATTCAATTACATGTGTGTTGTTATTTTAGTTGGTGAAGTAACAATAATGTAACGACATTTTATATGCAGGAATGTGTTTATTTATTTTGAAAGATTGTGCTAACAAAGTAACTAACTGAAAAGTACGCAACTTATTAAGTGAATGTCATCGTCTTCGATTTCGTTGTTTCAATGCCTTTTCTAACTGTATTTCAAACTATGAAGGATTTTATACTAGCGCCGATAAACATCTCAATTTATGGCATTTGATGAGAATGGATTCGAACATTATTTTCGCAACATAAGTTAATGCGATCAGTTTACATTGTAAATATCTTTGAAAAGAATGAAAATGTTTGAAACTATTTAACTTTCATTCGAAGTGTATAACTTTTCTTCAATTCTCAAGTATAGTAGGGTGTATAAATAAGTTAAAAGAATTTTATTTGATTTTATTCTTTCTTTCTTTTTCGCAGAAACAATTTCGATATCGGATCAAATGTCAAGAGGAAGCATAATTTTGGGTCCGTTAAAATTAACCCTCTTCATCGAAGAAGCCAAGATGTATTTATGCTTCAACAAAAAATGGCGCCTGGTTCCGTCGGTGAGTACTAAAAGAAACTTCTTCTTCTGCTTGCATTTTATCAAAACGAGAATGGTCCAAAGAGAAAATCACCTTCTTCATCGTCGTCGTCGTCGTCGTCATCGTTGCCTTTTTTCCCATTGTGTCCAATTAACTATCTATTTTGCCCTTTTATGTCACCTCTCTATCTTAAATGGCGAACAATTTCAAATGCATTTGAACGCTTGCAAAATTGCACAATTACTACATTATCTCTCTCTCTCTTTCTCTCTCGCTCTCTCTCGAATTCACTGTTGTTTTTAACAACGAACAAAAATGGTTAGTTAAAGAAACTTTGTTCAATTTCACTGCTGAAGCAATTCAAAGCAACTAACTAGATAAAAACTATTGAGAGATAAAACAATTACGAAAAAAACAAAGACATCCCGCCATGAAATAGATATTTATATACTCGCATAAAATAACTTCATTTCTCTCTGTGTTTTCGTACCTTCCACCCATTTACACCACACACGTATCCATGTAGAACCTAATGCGCTAGGATACTTGCCTTTTGTATCATCGCACCTGAACGTATTCTCTTCTCACTCTCTTCACATAGTTCAGTGTCATTGTGTTGTGAGAGAGTTTTCAAACTGTTTGTTTGTTAAAAAAAATAACAATGCAACAATTCGGAAGGGAGATAAACGAACTTTTGCTTTACAAGTGTCGTAACAAACTTACGCAAATGTATGCAATTGATTTTGCAAAATGTTTAGTCGTTTTGTTGTTATTCTTCTTCATCGTTTTCAACATTTGAAACAAACACGTAAAACAATCATCGTGTCATGTTTTTTTTTTATCTTATTAATATTATTGTCAAGTAAAGAGAGGGTGGGCAAAAGGTAGACAAATAGATTTTTCTTGGAAATTTGTTGTGTTCATGCTACCCCACCAATCACTTTGACACATATGTGAAAGTCCATACAACTAGAATTGAAAACACTTTTGTTTCTTCTTTTTTTCATTCTCTGCTCTGAAACAAAGAAGAAACTGTTTCACTAGTTTTTCCCATTCCCCGGGATCTTTTAAGCGATTTCACACAGTTTGGTAAACACTTGAAGAAGTTTGTCTCAATCTCGTTTTCGATACAAAGTATAAATATAAATTTTATTCGCATTCTTTTTCATTAAAACTGAATTATTGTATTTTTTTTTTTGTGTATGTTTGCAGAAAAAGCTTCACGAATACTGTTATTTTTACGAAAACATGGAAGAAGGTTACCATCGTTTCAAATCGGTAACCGATGACACTAAACACATCGGATTCACAGCAAATGGTCGACAAATGACCTTTCGTAATCGTACCATACACAATGAGAATTGCTACAGTTTTACCAAAATCACGCCGAAACAATTGAAAGCATCAAAAACGGCAATGTCGTCGTCGATCAGTACATCGTCGGCCAAACCAAAGGTAACATACATGGGCAGCCCATTAAATGGAATGCCGGTGGGTGAATCGCAACATCAAAATCATCATCACCACCACCACCAAAAACAACAACAACAACATCGGCAGCAGCCGCGGAACAAACAACATCCACAGCAGCAACAACAACAGCACCACAAGAAGCAAAGACATCAACGCATAAGCAAGTCGAGTATTATTAGTAGCGTTAGTAGCGTGAATAGGACTAATAAGAATAAGACGCAAATTAATTTAGTAAGTAATCATCACCACCAATACCATCAGCAACAGCAGCAACAGCAACATCATCCTCACAACCATCAAGAAAAACAGCAACAGCAGCAGTTGCATCATCGACATCGTCATTCGCAAAATAAACATCAGCTATCATTTCATGACCAAACGTCGTCACCGTCAAAAAATCATAACTTTCAAAGCGATCAAAGTGAACAAAATAGCGCGGACATTGTTGAGCAACGAATTCGAGCGGAACGGACATTTCGCGACAATATGCACAGTGTTCGCCGTAGTCATAGTAATTACCATGGTACTCACAATAGTCGTAGTTATCATTATTTGCAAAAAGTTGATGTTGCAATGGACGAAATGCCAACGCACCACCAGCACCAGCTAAGCAATGAAATGGCAGCGGTGGCAGAAGCGTTTACCGCCGACCGGTCACTATTTACAACAACACCGGCCACCACAACCACCACCACCACCGAAATCGACACAACCAATGCAATGAATGTTGTGCCAAATAAAAAGGAATTTCGAATAAAAAAGAAATCACACCTGGACAAGCATCTGGGTAATACGCAAAAATTAAACGAACCATATACAACAATGCACAGACATCGTCATCACCATGGCGATTATCAATCGCTTACATCGGCACAATATGTCGATAAAATGTCGAAACATTCCAAACGCATACATCATCGACGACTTGATGATTTGCTAAATAGATCATCTGATCCAGTAAGATCAGTTTAACTGAATCCACGAGCTGGACGCATAGATAACATTTTATTAGCAGTGTGTATATGTGCGCCTTCGTTTTATGGCATATATATATACCCCTCCCCCTATTATTCGGCTAATCCCACCAAAAAAACAACAACAACAATATACAGAAATTATGGTGGAGCAAGCGCAACAACCTCGCTTGATAATGATAAATCCACAGCAGAAAACAGAAATATTTAGAATATTAATCATCAATCAACCGTCTACATTTCTTTTTTTGGGTGTAATGAACATTTTATAAAAGAAAAAGAAAAATGTAACAATAATTAGAGAAAAAAGAAATGAAACTGATGAAAGCTCGTTGAAATCGATGTCAATCTAAGTTTAACTTATATATTATTTGCTGTAAAATTTAAAAAAAAAAATGAAACTAGTTACACAAACACACGCACGCGCGCGCATACATACACTCTTTTCTCGCTGATAGTTTATTTAGGTAGTACTCTCTCACTCACTCTATTTATTAGTTGCTAATTTTTATGACAATTGCCCATTTTCAAACACTATATATTATTCCAGTGTATGTAAACATTCTTAAGATTATAACTTTCGACTTTTTTTTTCTTTGTGTCTCTTTTATTATTTTTTAATTTATTTACCACAAACGTATTTTGACTGCGTTTTATTTTAATATACGAAACAAAATAACAAAATTAATGTTCTTCTTTCGTTTCTCTCTATCATTTGAACAAGAAAACAAAAAAAAAAAAAAACAAATGTGCATGAACAGTATTCTTTTTAATATTTTAATTACTTTTTGCATCGTTCAAAAAGTTAATTATAAAAACGAACAAAATACAATGTGTATTCAAGGAAAATGAAAACCGAAAAAAAAAATCGAGAAAAAAGGAACTAAATGCAAATCAAAAGAGAATAATATATATATAAAACTTTATCTGACTGGAGATTGTATGCAAGAATATTAAATGTTTGGAATATTCTTTTATTTTATACAATAAACCAATTAAAAAAGCACACAGATTTTCGAGTCGAATTTACAAAAGAACAACATTGATTTGCAGTGAAAAAAATTGAACAACAACAACAACATACACAGACACACACACACACACACACACA